CGGCATGCTACATTTTAAAGTTGGAGTTTTGGTTTAAAAAAAAAAAAAAAAAGGTAAGCAGTCTGATTAGGCCTAGAGGAATACACAAGTAAAATTTTGTGAAGCTGGCATTTATCGTTTTAATTCTGTGGGCACAGTGATTGAATACAGCTTCGAAAAGAGTGCTGAAACGAGCATTGTTGTCAATGAACTGACCAATGAGATGCAAAGAATACAGTTGTCCTAGATTATCGGTGAGCACGGTCTGGGCACACCTAGGGTTCGCCGTTTGATTTTAGGCAAGATTTCAAGGTACAAATTTAAAACTAATATAGAGTAAGGAGATTAGCATACACACAAAAAATAACATAGAAATTTCTTTTCAAACAATTCCTTTTATACCCTAAAAAAAATCTAGAAGATTTCTTTGAAAAATGAGGGTCTTAAAAAACTAAACATGGCTAAAATATATGGACTGGTTTGTGTTGAGCTGCCATCTACTATAAATAAAGAAGGTTCAGAGTAACCTATAGTAACCTATAAATGCTTTTTCATTAAATTTTTCTGTGCGTACAGAAGGGAATTTTTAGGTGTGTCCATACCGGACACACTGTGCTGCAAAGGGTTAATAATTATCATTTATTAATTATTTTAAAGTATATAAAGACTGTTATTTATGTACAACAAATACTTTAAGAAATTTTAAAAATGCTTGTGGTGAGCTATCTACAGCATCCCCAGAGAAGGGTGACATTTTCGGAAGAACGGCGAGGGAAAACAGCTGCCACTTTTGATTACCGTTTACTCGTAATAATGCGCGAATTAAAATGAACAAAAACGAAAACTGCTCATTTCCCTAACCATCAAAGGGTTAAGCCTTATTGAGGGCCGGTGCTAGATATCTTATTCCCTGATGCAGTCTCTGTGGGTCGTAAATTATGCGACTGGGTGCAGCCATACAAGCCCTGGTGCTGGTCCTGGGTTTATGTAAATAACAAATCAGTTATTCTTAATTCAAATAGCCCTAAATGTAATCTTTGGGTCTATGAGTATCATTAATAAAATCTATTTTTTAGCATATGGAAAGAAATTTTTGGTAAATGTTTCCTCGTCAACATTTTTCAGCTCATTGAACTTAAATCTGTAATCATCGCCAAGCATAATGTCAACATAAAAGGTTATCATACTCCTTTATTATTCAATTACTAACATAAAAAAATTTTTTAGGCATTGCTACATGAGTGATTACTTAAGTTGTCGTGTTCATAAACATGCGGTGATTAAAGGAAACTGGCGTCTTATCAACGATGTATCTATGTGGAAAGTTTAGGTTTGATATGTATGCCAAGCAGTATGTGTACGCAGCAACGGAGCCAAATTACTGATTGTACAAATTTATGCTAAAATGATTCCTTCATCAATAACAAGGTATTTTATTTAGTGTAGAAGCAAAATTAAGAAGCGGGACTCTCCAAATGTTTTATTATGCGCGAAGGGCGGAATCAAATGCACATGCATAAAGCCTACAATAAAAACATTGTTGATAATTTTGAGGTCCGGATTTTAGATCATTTCGGATAATGGATGTTCGGATTTCGGACTTTGTACTGTATTTTGCTGAGATAGCTACAAGAAGTATTAGATTTTGCAAGTATATTTACACCACGCAAATTTCCACAATTTTATAAAAAGTTAACTAAAAAATAATATGTTGGTCTTCTGCAGGGATAGCATCCTTAAATTGTCCCACCATTCATGAAGAAGAGATATGAAAACGCTGCTTTTTCTCTCCCCATAAATACTCTTTCATAGATCTTAGATATTTATGGATGTAAAACCATTTACAGATGTTCAAAAAATAGCTATTTCAATTTATTTAAAGAAATACTCCATTACAGAAACTGTTAAACAATCCTTCATAATAGAAAGGTTTATATACTTTGCTTACTTAATTAGGTACTTACCTCACTTCTCATTTTCCTAAAATTTAAATGAAACTGTCATATCAGTTAGCACATTTTTCATTACAAATAATTACAACCTAATTTTATACACCTATCCCTTTCATTACATGCTACAACAAGCAACCTTTGTTTCAATTCCTTTTATTTTCTTCTTAATTTACACTCAAGAGCCAAAACATTATGGCCACCTGTCAATAAAAAGTTGAGCCACCTTTGGCGCGCAAGACAGCTTCAACCCGAATTGGCATGGATGACACAAGTCCTTCAAAGATGACCGGAGACAGATTGTACCACATGTTGTAGCAACGGTCACGCAAATCCGAGATATTGCGAATTGGTGGTCTTTGACCTCTGAGCTGCCGTCCCATGACATCCCAAATGTGTTCTATCGGATTGAGATCCGGTGAGTTAGGCGGCCAGGACATTAACTGGAAATCTGCATCATGTTCCTGGAACCACTCCAACACAATTGTAGCCTTGTGACACGGGGCGTTGTCCTGTTGGAACATTCCATTTCTAGCTGGAAAAACAGAGGCCATGTAAGGGTGCAACTGGTCCGCAATGATGTTCAGATACCTTGTAGCATTCATGGTGTGCTCTATCACAACCACTATCACGTTTGCTGCGTAGCCCCATATTCAACAGTGTCCGCTGAACAACGTGCTCCGATACTTTTCTACTTGGCCCTGCATTGTATTCAGCTGAGCCACTGCATGGCTCCGGTTTTGCTTCACCATGCGAGACAGTCTCCGACGACCTTTTTCTTTGATAGCGTGTGGACGTCTAACACCATGTCGTCTACTGCTGGTTTCACCATCATTCATCCACTTTTCATACATACTAACAACTGTAGATCGCGAACAACCCACGGGTCGGCAGTTTCGGAAATACTTTTTCCGAGCCTTCGAACCATTACAATCTGCCCTCTATCAAAGTCGCTTAGATCCGCAGCCTTTCCCATCACACACAGAAGTAAGTGAAAGAATGATTCTTCAGACTTTCCAGCAGCAGTTAAATACCACTTCCACCTGATCACGTGCCTTCCACGTCATCCAGGCGCGTTCATCGCAAAATGTAGGGCTGGTCATAATGTTTTGGCTCTTGAGTGTAGATATTTAATAAATGAAGTTATATTTAGCTATTTCTTTTAAAAGCATTAATTTAAATAAGTATTATAATAACAAGTTTATCAGCTGAAAAGAATTTTTCTCACTTATTTCGACTGAAAAAGTATCATCTACATGCATATGAAGGCATGTAAAAGTGTTACAGGACAGCCTGTAGATCATGAAGGCATGTAAAAGTGTTATAGGACAACTGTAGATCACGAACAACCCACGACTCGTGCAGTTTCCGAAATACTTGTTCCGGCCTTCGAACCATTACAATCTGCCCTCTATCAAAGTCGCTTAGATCTGGGGTGTTTTTCATTCTAATTTTCAACAGACTGAGTTAAATTTCCGGAACAGAATCATTCTTCGCTTGGGTTGGTAGACCGCAAAACTTTTAGTCCTATTCAATCCAGATTGGAAAAAGACAAAAAAAAAAAAAAAAAAAGGTCCGTTGCTTGTTTTGCAGCGAACTGTAACAGTTTCAATATTCGAGATTTTGCAGAGAAGGGGAGAACCTCCCAATCTTCGTACTGTATTGGCCAAAAAAAATGAAATTATTTTGACTATTTGATTACTTTCCCTTTATTTAAGCCATTCCGAATATTATTCCTTAGAAAGCTAATCTGTGTTAAAACACAACCATTTTTGGAAGTTCTTCAGCAGTTACTGCAACTATGTTATTATAAACATTCATACATATACTTATAATATAAGCATAACGATCATAATAAACACAAATATGAACTGACCAAGCGGAACGAGAATGCAAATTATTAAGATCTTGATAGAAATTCAAACGTGTGTAGTATTTGGGTGGGAGGAAAAGAATGCCGAATGTAGAAAAATTTTCTACTGCTTTCGTAATTCTTTGACCAACAGAATGACGGGCACCTGTCTGTACTCTCCACGCACACCAAAGGTTATGTTAATGCAGAGCAAGGGGGAAAAGCTATTTCCGGGAGTATGATTCACCATCTGACTTCCATATAGGAGAAAAGTTGTTTATTTAGTTCGGCTTTGTACGGGGAAAATTGCACGTTTTTAAAAAAAAAGCATAAAAACAAAAAAAATAAGGGCTTTAAAGAAAAATAGCACCTATAAGGGCCTTTATATTTTATTTTCAAATATAAGGACTTATAAGCACTTATAAGGACCGCTACAAACCCTGGTAGTATTTGCACTTTTGTAAGTGTAAATAAAGGACTTATAAGCACTTATAAGGACCGCTACAAACTCTGATAGTATTTGCACTTTTGTAAGTGTAAATATATCTACATACTTTTTACATTTTGCATTAAGGTATATTTTTGTACAGATCATTACATCAAACAAAATGCTGACAATGACTACTAAAAATATTACACTAAATTCAGGATCTTTGAGTGTTTTTTACATGAATATCAACCTAACAATCTGCCCACTCACGCAGAACTAAATGAAAATGATTTTCAGTTAATCTTCCATAATCTTTCATGGACCTTAGACATTTATGGATATAAATCCATCTATGTATTGATTATAAAAATTATCTATTCCATTTTATTTAAGAAAATACTATGTTACACAAACTGTTAAACAATCCTTAACAAAAAGGTTCTTGAATTACGTATTTATTTCACTTCTCATTCTCTTAAAATTTAAATGAAACTACAATGCCTCCTAATATTCATATCTTTTCACTACAACTAACTACATGCATATTTTGTCCTTATTTCTTCTATTATATGTTACAACAATCATATTTCCATTCCTTGTTATTTTCTTCTTTAATATACATTCCAAATAAACTTTATGGACAAAGATCAGCACATCTAAAATATCACATGTATTTGTATTAGCTTACAATACAAATACATGTTTTGTTATTTTTCTCTACATAAAGAATGCTGAATATAAATTGAAAAAGTAACAAACAAAAGCACGCAGACTAGATTATATTACTAACTTCTAATTCAGCCTCTAATCCCAAGCGATTAACTAGATTTTCAGTAACATGTAGCCTGCGTTGAAACCTTAACCGGTAGCTATCCTGCAGAAAATAAAAATAGGGCAAATGTATATGTGAACAGCAAAAAATACTCAATCATCACAATGTATATTAAACAAATCTTTGAAACTTACCTCTCTTTCCCTTAAACTCTGATATCGGATAACATTATTGTATTCCATCACTAGTCTCAAAAACAAATAGCAGCATGTTAGTCTCAAATAACAACCCCTATAATCAATAACAAATTATTAATATAAAATATGAATGTGATAGTCAAAGAATAAACTAACTAACGGCAACAATAGAAGCATGGAAAGTGAGGAATTCATTGCAGTTTTTGCATGATATATACAGCATGACATGCATTTGCAATATTAGCATATAGCAGTAGAGGAAAATATGAAACACGGTTACAATTAACAAAATTGCACTAAGAAAATGTCCAAGATAAATACTCGCTTTTCTTGATGGCATTAGATTATGTGTGGCAGGAAACAGCATAATGAACTGGAATGTTATGTATGGAATAAAAACACTAGAGATATTAGTTTTCAAATAAGGAAGAGCAGAAGTGAAATACAGTGAAAAACAGAAAGACAAGCAGGTAATGAAAAAATACAACTGTGAGATTATAGAAAACTATTAATTTCAGACTATAGCTGTGAATGTTGAGGATGTTCATACTCATTATCTAGGACATATTGCATATGTTAATAACTTGATAACTAAGACAACATCACACAATACACATTAGCTTGGATACTAAGTACTTCAGTATGATGCACTAAATCCATTTAATACTCTGGAATTATTCCGCTGGATACTTGATTATAACCACATAGTCAAAAATTCATCAAGTTTGAAATCAGAACAAAGCACATGCTACACAAACACAATATGATGCAAGATGAAATGATTACCAATACAGTCTTGAAATAGTCATTTCACATTCGTGGTCACATGGCAAGGCACTCATCCCAGGCATCACTCCAATCTATAGTCAATGTGGTACTATGTAACATTATCATCATGGGAATAAGTCGAAGAAATAGGTGTCAGACAAATGTGTATTGTTCTTTGTGTTTAGCTGCCTAATTAATGTACTTTGCCTCATACATCTAGATAATTTATATAGCTGTCTAGTTGATGGAGTTTGGTCTCATAAACCAGGTAATTTGTAACAGTAAACTTCATTCTCCATGTACTAGTTTAGAAATACAAAAGGAAAGGTCTGTTACATTCTACAGATCCCAGCTTGGTAATATTACACTAAACGAAAATTAAAGGGAAACATATACTCACTTCCAAAAGTTAAGCGCGAAGATGTAAAATGCAAAAAAATCAACAAATACTGCTTTGATTGACACAAAATTAGGCAGGAGAGTAGCATATATATTTATGCTTAAAACAAAATCGTATATAGAGAAATGAAAACAATATTAAATTTTATAAGTTATCAGATAATGACATGGAGACTTAAACAAATTATGTATAAAGTGAAAATAAACAGCATAAAATGAAAAAAAAGGACATTAATAGGGTATGTGATCCCCCCATCTGTATACAAAGTTTACATTTTATGACCATGCTTTCAATTAAGTGGTCAACCACCGCAGAATTAAACAACCGCCATTCTTCTTGTAGAGCAGTTTCCAGCTCAATAAGAGTGGCTGGAGGTGGGAAACATGAAGATACAGCACGGCCAAGAGCATCCCAAAGATTTTCAATGGGATTAAGGTCAGGCGAATATGCTGGCCACTCCATATGCGTAATCCCTTCACTCTCCAGGTAGCCACCGATGATGTCAGCTCTATGAGGACGCAAGTTATCGTCCATTAAAACTAAAGTAGGGCCAACTGCTGCAGCGTGCAATCTCACAATGGGTTCTAGGACTTCATCTCGATACCGGACAGCCATCAAAGAACCCTGTTTAAAGATATGCAGGTCGGTGCGGTATCCTAATGAAATCCTTGCCCACACCATAATGCTTCCGCCTCGAAATACGTGATTTTCGGTGATGTTTTGGGACTGATTGCATGTTCGTTGTTCACGCCATATCCTTAAACGCTTGTTGTCTGGCTTCAGAGCAAATCTTGACTTATAAGTAAACATGACATTGCCCCAGTCAGACACATTCCAAATGACATGTTCCCTGCACCACTGTAATCGTGCCCTTCTTGATTGGATGGATAGAGGAACACAAACCCGAGGTACCCGGGTGTACAGTCCACTCATAAGTAAACTTCAGCATACAGTAGCTGCAGATATCGCATTACCAATAGACGTTGTAACCATAGATGTCACACGTGTGGATTGGATTGGATTATTTAATTATGGCAAAGCACACGAGGGCTATCTGCCTAAAGGGAGGGATGCCTTCGTGGAGGACTGTCTAAGGGAAACTGGCTCGTATACACATTACACATGGGAAAAACCACGAAACCGCCCATGCAACCAGCCCGTTCACGGCATTTGAACCTCGGACTAAACTACCAGTGTTAAGCGTCTTTACCGCTTGGCCACTGGTAGGCCGTCACACATGTGGAGGTAGCTCTGTGATTCCGCTTGGCTACAATAGCACTATATCGATCTTCCGCTGGGGTTGTAACGCTTGGGTGACCGGCTACAGGCCTTCGGACAACTGTCTGTGTGTTTTGAAATTGTTTCCATAAACGTAAAATTACAGAATTATGAACGCTGAAGGAAACAGCAACATCTGTAATCGACTGTCCTGCTTCAATTTGTCCTACAGGGACAGCTTAGGTCAGGAGCCGTCTCATCGGGTAGAGCCTTCCTGATTCAGTGCACCCAACAGCACGCCAGCGCTCAGAATCTTCCATTCGTCTTCTGGAAGTCATAGGAACACGTATGTTTTGGAAACAAATTGTACGAAAGTTTTAAACACCTTCTATCAGTATTTACAATCAACTTCCGTAACCCTTCATAAAGCTGGCTTTTTATAAGACTGCCATTTTTGCATATTTCTTGACATGAAAACGACCAACTGTGACCCTGAGAAAGCGGCCATCTGTGGTTATTAACTAACATATTTGCATACTTCCATCTACCTCTGCAGCGAATTGCATCCTCTTCAATTCTAATTGGCTTCAGTAAATTAGCAATTTCCTCTCTGTGCTTAAATTTCGGAAGTGAGTGTATTTAGCACTAAACACAGAACTTTCAATACAAAGCACCTGGATAAATGAGATTGCTTTTAACACACCACATTCCTGTTCAGCACCATGGATCCTGGTCATGATAAAGCTCTGTGTTGATTGCAACATCCACCAGGGGCACTACCACATTTCATTCAGTTGCATTGGCAACAGACAACATTTAAAAATTTGCTGATCAAATCATGCCTAGTTTACATTGGCCATTAAATCCTCTGAAAGAAGACCTGCAACAGAGTTCAGGATGGACTGCTAATAGAACTGTAATATGCTCACAAATTCAAATGAAGGGATGCAGTACACTCTTGATTTTTGACATTCTTTTTCTATAGCGTGATACTAATAGCACAGTTCTGCAGATGAAAATTTGAATAAAATATTCTTTTGCAAAAACCAATCCTCTGTGGTAATTCAATAGGAATATGTTAAATTTAATACTTTCTCACTTTTAGCACTGTAAGGTACATCCTAATTTTATAACAGTTATTTTAAGTTTATACAATTTTTCCATCTCTTTTAGCTTCAGCTTACAATTCCTTACCAGAATGAGTTTTTAGAATCACGTTAAATGCAAACAAGAAGAAATGAGTATTAAAGTCAAAGCTCCATTGACTTCGGAAGAAAGAATTAGGATTTTTAGTGTTCGTTTGCTTTTTCACCATGTTTCTCGAACTGTTACTATGCTCGGCCTTATTACGTGCCTTTTGATAGCTTCGCTAGCTAATTTAATATTACGGGCCAACTAGTTTAGAATTTGTGTTAACTTTGGCTAAAGTCATAAGTTAGTTCTTATACCTTACACTTTTTTGGTTTAAGCCCAAGTGGAGGTTTTTTTATACACCCTGAGAAAGCGGCCATCTGTGAATCTCTATTTTGAGCAATACAGGTTAATTAACCCTTCTTGAGTTTACGTTTCTGTTCTTAGACTTGATGATTTGCTTAGCTGTTCAACAACACTTAGTTAATAGATAGAAGTGAGGAACATTACAGTACTTGTAATTGAACACACATGCAATGGTAGTGACCAATACAGATTTTGGATGGCTGTCTATAAAATGTGATTCCACGCAAACTGAATACATATCTGCAACTCACCAGTTGTAGTTATGTGGGATAAGAAGTAGGCCAACCTTCTAAGCAATCATATTCCACAGATGTTCCATGGAGAACAAACTGGGTGACCATGCAAGCTAAGAATTGACATTTAATGGTCACACAAGAAATGCTGGACAATGTGTATACAGCAAAGACAAGACAGCTGTCCTAGCCAGAATGATTTTGTAGCAATGGTAAGACTTCTGGTTGAAACAAATTAGGTGTTGGGATCAGAAATCTGACTGTTGTTCTGAAGTTTTTTTTTTTTTTTTTTTTTTTTTTTTTTTTTTTTTTTTGCTTGTTGCCACTAGATGCAGCCTGTAACTGGTGGTGTACAGTGGAATTTATTATGAATGGATAATGTTGACTTTCATTCTGTTACAGTATTTTTCATTTTTGGCATTTTGTTTCAGAATGAAGGCAGGAATCATGGGGACGAGTTACGTAAATAAACAGAGCAGGCTATTCACAGCATCAGCTAATATATTATATGCACATGTTCCTGATGCTTCCAAATATTTTTTTTTGGGGGGAGGGGCGATATAAGGGTAGATATTCTTTAATTTTAGAGGTTTTATTTATTCTTCTTAAGAGGCAGGTCGGCACTGAGATGATTATTTTTGTGTATCGTTTAGCAAAATATTTTTTTTTACACTTCAGATGGCAAAACCAAAACAGTATTTTAGGAAACACCAGGATTTGAAACCATTTGACTGTAAGAAAACCAAATATTAATACTAGAAGAGTTATCAAAGAAATTGATGTTTTATTTTACTTTTTTCTTTTCTTTTTTTTTGGGGGGGGGGATAATGCTCTTGTAAAATACATCATAAAAGAAACGGTTTTGCACAAAAATGGCCTGAGTTTCAATCTGCTTCGAAATCAGTAAATTTACAGATGTGATGTCAGAGCAAATGAAAATGGTTTTGGGTCCGATTATTTTAATGGGAAGAATGAAAGAGCCTAATCTACATTTTGAAATACTGCTTCCATTTCATTGTGTTTATGCCTTTTTTTAACAAAAGAGACTTTTAATACTTTCATTTTGATTAAAATAACATAATACAATATAATCTTGATTGTGCGGATATTTTTTCCATACATATTTATTTGAGGAAAGTAAAAAAAAAATGTATTATTCCAGAACTTATTACTTTATACAGTCAAAAGTCGTTAATCCGGAACTCGTCGGGACTTCGGAGATTCCGGATTAGGGGTTTTTCCGGATTATAGATCATCAGTTTAAATCTGGTAAGATGGCATGCAGAAATTATAAAATAAAAAACATGAAACCATAATTTATGAAATAAAGAGCAATTATGATCTAAAGGGTATCAAAATTTACAAAAAAAAAAAAAAAAAAGCTTAATATTTATTTGCTTACTTTATTAAACATTTCTTTCAATGTAAGTTGTTTAAGTTGCTTCGTTTTTTATGTGATAATACATTCTCTTTAATTCTATAAACAGACATAATTTCTTGTTCAGTTACAAAGTTCCGCTGTTCAAGTCCTATAATTGCTGTGTCGAGAATACCGACTAATTTGTCAATCAAAATTTTTTCGTTTTCAATAACCTCTGTCACTTTCTTCGCTATCGGAATTTGATTTAAATCATATCAAAGACGGAGTATATCGAGATGAAATACTACATTTAAGCAATTATAAGCCAAATAAAATAAAACATCTGCCCTTTAAGATAAGGATAGTGCTTGACAGATCAACTTCCATTCATTGCATGCACGCCGCCGCGGCGTTAAAGATAAACAAAGTTTAGATAAACAAACGTTAAAGTTTAGATAAACAAAGGATATGCCTTTATCCATTTTTTGCAGCAATTCCACTTTTTGTTTAATGGACTCCGAAAGATACTTTCGCTTTGTAGATCCTTTACATATTAGTAAATATATATCGGAAATTCTATTTGACATAATCGAAAGTTCAAGCTTACTTTTATAAAATTGCTCTAACAGTCTTCAAAAAATAATAAGCGGATCCAATTCGAAGATTAAGGAACAACGCAATCTGCAACATTAACTGAATAGATAATTAGATAATTTTAGCTTAGCTTATCCCGTCTGTTATACATTAAACGTGCATTCGTAAACGTATTTTGCGCACGCACACGCAAATTCGCAGGTAAAGGTCTTACGCGCATGCGCAAAAGTTGTAGCTTTGAGGTCCGGATTATAGATCATTCCGGATTATGGATGTCCGAATTAACGACTTTTGACTGTACAATTTTTAAGGAAAATATCGTGATAAAGTTTTAAAATTAATTCAGATAGTTACCTGAGTGTTCCTCTCATAGTGTGCCAAAAATTTGACAAAGACAAGACCACAAATTTTATTTATATAATTTTTTTTAAAGTTAGGCTTTGCATCCTGTCTGCCTACCATCCCAAAAGAGTGGCTTAGTGACTGAGGAGCTCATCCTAAAATGGTTAAGTCTTTCTACAAAACTTTTCTTACTACTGCAATTTCTCTGAACAGCAGTAAACAGTACTGCTGCTAGGCTAATGAAGGCTACTGCAATGTCTCTGAACAGCAGTAAACAGTACTGCTGCTGGGCTAATGAAGGCTGCAAATTAATGTGTCAATGGGAATTCCAGCCCTGACTACTGTTACAGGAAATTTATATATTGGTGATGGTGTGCTGTAAGGTATAAAATACATTAAGCTACTTAAAGCTAGGCATAATACTTTGCAGAGCAGCCAGATACATACCTAGCATTGCATGAGTACATATTCAGCAAGATGCTAGTCAATAATGTCTAGAGTTTCAAAATGAAACTTAAAAAAAAAAAAAAAAGAAGAAGAAGAAAGAAGCAACACAGAGTTGGCCTTAGGAATTTTGCTGTCTTGTAAGCTTATTTTGGCTTTTTATGTTAGTTACTTTTAGTTATTCTATGTTTTGGATCTTTATTGTTACTTCTCTCTTCCATTTTCCCAACAGAATACAAATTTAGTTCAAAAGTATTTAAGGTGATGTTTTTAATCGTTAGACTGAGCGTATTCTGCTTCTCAAGGCCACGTTTCTCTGAACAGGATTGCTAGATAAGATAAGAGTTGCAGTCTTTGGCCTTGCATTATAATTGCCAATGGTTTATATCCACATCCATTAAGTTTTCAGCCAACTTCACATCAACTGACCTGTGTAGCCTTTGACTACTTTGATTATTTGAATTTTAGTTTATTTGAATTTAATTACATTAGAACTAGCTGTTACTCTTAAAATATCTCATCACAGGTGGTTGGCTGAGTTGTGAGCACAAAGTGTGCTTAAAAAATCTTTTACACCCTTCTCAAGTTTCAGTTGTTACTTCAGACTTAGCAATAATTTGCTTAACATCCACCAAGAATGTGGATACTTTGGATGATTGCAAAGCACATAAAACTATAATATCTTTAAAACTATGAAGCCAAGTTTCAACATGTAAATTCTAAACAGCAACATTAGCTGAGTAAATAACATTATCTGATATCAGTTTTATTTTATTTGCTGAAATTAAACTGATACCAATTAACATTATGTACTCGTATTAAGTTTTACTTCAATTATCATGCTTTCTCATTTAGTAGCATTAGCTCATGAATATGCATAAGTTAATAAAAAGCTATCATAAACCATATTTTTACAGAAAGACTTGAACAATTAACAGAGAAATAAAAGAAAAGAACATATTCTCATTAACACAGATATCAGTAATGCTCATTATGGTATGTAGAATGCAGAACTGCTAAGTCTTAAAACATTTAGCTATAATAATTGCATCTTTTAAGTTTTTTTCGTTTTACATTTAATATTCACCAATACAATATCAAGAAGCTATGAATCTAAACTTTTGGCATGACATTCTAAATAGTTTGTGAGTGAAGAGTCGAAATATATTTAACACTTCACCCACATACAGCTGATGTTGAGAACAATCCTGTTTAGTTATCCACAATTTCAGAATTTTCTTTTACAGAATAAAACCATTTCTCCAAGAGACAAAGGAGCATAACTGACAATTATGTTCAGATAATAAGAACAGCGAGGTTTCAAAACCCACACATGCTTGTGACAATATAAGAATATTCATATATGACAATTCGTTTAGAAACAAAAAAAAAATCAGCCTGCTGTGGCTTCAACAAGAACAGGGGGCAAGAATTAGACAACACAACCAACCTACTATAATTTAGTCACCGCTTAGTCAGTATAGTGGTTAGTGATGCTGACTGCCATACCGATGGGCCCAGGTTTAAATACTAAAGAAGACATGAATGTTCATAAGCATATAGTGTCTGTGCGGTAAGAATGCACTCAAAATACACGGTGAGCCAAAAAAAATCTCAAGTGATTGGTAGCTGGGGAAGAAAAGTAAGAGACCTTCAGACTGTCCCCAGGGTGTTATCCTCCCAAATTGGAGGACAGCTTGCTAACCAATGTGGTTGGATTACATCTGTATGGCCTCAATGGTGAAATTCCAGTGTCCACCCCACTTACCTGCAGCTGCCATTCCCATAGTTATAAGGCATGCTGGGTAGCAGAAAATGAGCCTGAAATTTGAATTTTAAAGTAACAGACAACAGCGCATGTTCACCATTGCTTAGTTTCTTACCTGAGCATTAAAGGTTCTTGGATACTACAAGCAGATTTTTAACTGACTTCTAGTCTTTCAGTATTACTTAGAGAGTGATTCCATCTAAATGTTCACTCCGTCACTTAAACCTCTCAGCATTATGGATGAAAATTCTGTAGAAGTGTAGCTTTCTTATTCATTACATATGAAAATTTCTGCCAGCTTTTAATGTATCTGATTATGGGTTGGATGTATATTGGAAGAAAAGGAAACAAGATAAAAAGTGAGAAAGACAAACAAGGAACAAAGTAATTATAATTAAGAAAATATCATTTATTCATGATATTTTGAGGACCTTAAAAATTCACGGCTGACAAACTAACAAATTAAAACATGGTTTTGAGAAATGAAATTGAAAATTACCTGATGCACCAGATATTTATTCTGATGTTCTGCAATATCTTTCTGATCCTGTTCTAAAAAAAATTAAAATGAGGAAAATAGCAAAATTTTTAAACCCAACAAAACAATTATCATGGAAAAAAATTCATTAAATTAATTCAGAAGATATATATATATATAACAGCAAAAATGATGCCACTGAATTATCATAAATAATATGTCATTTTCAGTACAAGATTGTTGCAAGTGCAAAGAGGAATCCTGAAGCACTGAACTGCCATAAATAATATGTGATTCTGCGTACAAAAATTCTGTAAGTGCAATGCCCTTGATATCTATTGCTAAATTTTTTAAAAATGAAAAACTTCATTTCCTAATTAAAACCAAAATCAATCAAGAACCAACTGTGATAGAAAAAATGGTATTATTTGGTTTTGAGGGCCGTAAAAAAATCGCCAAACTATTGTTGATGGCAGTGCTGCCAAAATTAACTGCGGCAACCCTATGCAAGAAAGGAAGTATAATAGTAAATACTATAATTTGGTGTTTTAATTTAGATGAATGATAATTTTGATAATACTTTTTTATTATTATAATTTATAAAAAAGGCTAAATATGAGCTGATTAAGCATAAGAGTAAATAACTACAGTCAAAAGTCTTTAATCCAGACTTCCATAATACGGAATGATCTATAATTCAGACCTCAAAGCTACAAACTTTCTGCGCATGCGTCTACGCATGAGCATAATACCTTTAATGCATGCACATAATACCTTTACGCAAGTGCGCTTAATGTATAACGGACGGTATAAGCTAAGCTAAAATTATCTAATTATCTATTTCAGTTAATGTTGCAGATCGTGTTGTTCTTTAATCTTTTAATTGGATCTGGCTTATTCTTTTTTGCAGACTGTTAGAGCAATTTTATAAAAGTAAGCTTGAACTTTCGATTATGTCAAAAGAATTCCGTTTGGAGCTGCCAAAGGATCTACAAAGCGAAAGCATGTTTCGATGTCCATCAATAAAAATGGAATTCTCAAAAAATGGATAAATGCATATCCTTTGTTCATCCAACCATTCCGAAATCTGTTTATCGTTTAGCTGGTCTGCGGGGGGGGGGATTTTGTTGTTGATCTGTAACCATTCCGTAAATCTGTTTATCAATTTGGTTGGAGGTTGGAAAATATGACTTATTGTAACCCTTTTTCTGCATCATCTCTCCTCCTTGAAATATTTATTAGGCTTAGTTCTTATTTTTAAAGGGATATAGTAGTTACTTCTACTTCTTTTTTCACTGCCACTGTTTGTGTTGAGAACGGACTGTTTCAGCCTAATTAAGATGCAAAAACGAAACGTGATGTTACGTCATCTGGAAAGCCGAGTCGTGCCGATAGCTGATTGGTTGCCGTGAGATGACGTCATGCCTACTTCTGGTATAAGTATCTCGCGTCGCTCTGGCTCATTCCTTCTAGTTCCTGCTTTCTTGGCTCTTGGGTGTGCGGTTTCCAGCCCCTATTGAAAGACGTCTTGCGATGCGTGCAGTCCGGGGATAAGTTCCTTGGTTCCAGTCTACAAGATGACTTTTCCCTGGAATAAGTTCCTTGGTTCCAGTCTACAAAGATAACTTTTCCTGGTTCTCAAAGAGGCTACAATGATGAGTGACTGCCGTGGGCGGCATCCATGTTCTTCATGAAGGCGGCATTTAACATAAGTTAGCGGCGATGTTTTCTGGGCTGTGATTCCTCGTGTTCAACTACAGTGAGCGGAGTTAGGCCGGATTTAATTTTCAGTGTGCTTCTGACGTGCTAATTCATTTAATTTTAATTTCTTAAGTTTAAACTGATATTGTTTTAAATTTAATTTTCATTGTGTTTTTATTTTTTTTATATTGTTAATAAATTGGTTAAGTTTGAAACCTTTTATTGTCTTCAATGTCTGCACAAACATACCTTCTTAGGGAGCTTCTATTGCTACTGCTACTGGTGCTAAATGTTTAATTTTATAAACTTTAAACTTTGCTTTTGCATCATTTTGGTTATGGGCCCAGCCCCTGAGTTATCTTTAGTGCAGACTTTTGAAGTTTAAAATTAATTTAGGACTTAAGAGACTGGGGGGCGGTTTTTGTTGAAATTCAAATATGGCTACTGTTAATGTTATGCATAATATTGCTAAACTTGAGGCATGTAATTATTTTACATGGTCTAAAGATATGAAGTTTGTCTTAAATGAGAAAAATGCATGGCTTTTGGTTAAAGGTATTGAAAAATGTCCTGATTTAAATGATGTTAAGGGTATTACAAAAGAAATTGTTGCCGACTATCAAAATAGAAGTCGTTTGGCATTATCTTTAATTTATATGAATGTAAGCCCTGAATATAGAAACTTGATAAGTGAAATTGATGACCCGGTAATTGCATGGAATACGCTTGCCAAATATTTCCAGCCAGATTATCGATCTAGACATATGTCCTTGTTTTCAGAGTTCTTAAATTGTAAAATTAAGCCAAATGAAAGTATTAGTTTCTTTTCTTCTAGATTAAAACGGGTAACTGAACAATTAGCTGATGATAATATGTTAAGTTTCAGTTCTTGATAAGAGATTTAATAGTGATAAATTCATATAAAATACTTTGTTTAAAGAAGTGAATTTCGTCCAGGTCATATTCAAAAATACTGTAGAATGAAAGGTAATTTTTCCAGATCACCCTCGCCTGCTTCTTCTGTTTCCTCAGCTGTATCTAGTAGTAATAAAACATCTCCTAAGTGTAAGAATAAACCCAAGTTGTGTAAAGGTAAAAATAATTCCCATGCTCAGTCCCATTTTATAGCTCAAGCTAATGTTAACAATTTGGAGGAAAATGATGATAGTTGGATTTTTGATACTGCTGCATCTCATCATTTTTGTAAAAATCGTGAATTGTACGATACTTTTTCTCCTGTGAAGAATGAGAATATGCTAGTAGCTATTGATGGGGTAACTTTTCCAATTCATGGGAAAGAAAGGTACTGTTAAAATGAAATTTGGGGATAGAATTATTTTGCTTAAAGATGTTTTTATACTCACCTGAACTGAGACGAAATTTAATATCTGGACCTAAGGTGGATATCAATGGAGCGAGATTTTATGGTAAAAATGGGCAAATTAAAAATATTACTGATGATGAAAATGAAACTTTGTACAAGGCTAAGTTGATAGGAAGTAACTATCATGTATTCCCGAAAATAGTGAAAAAGGGGGGCAAATCTGTGAAATTTGAGGCATCCACAGTTCAGCATAACAATAGTGAATTATGGCATGGTCGGTTTGGTCATATAAATTATGGTGCTATTGTCAGGACTAGTAAGAGACATTCAGTTCGAGGTCTTCCTGTGTTAAAGCACTCACCTAATTTGTTTTGTGAACATTGCCAAATCAATAAGCAAAGACGAATCTCCTATAGACCCTTAGAAGGTATTCAAGTAAAGAGGCCGCTTGAAAGGGTTTTTTCTGATGTATGGGGACCTATTAACATTCCAGGTAGGAATAGTGAACGTTATTTCGTTTCCTTTATTGACGAATATTCTCGTTATGTGGTAGTGTACCCCATTGTAGAGAAAAGTCAGGTGTTTGAAGTATTTGAAAGGCATATAGCACGTGCTGAAAGATCTTTGAACCTTAAGTTGAAATACTTTAGGACTGATAATGGACGAGAATATGATAATGAACAATTCAGGTCATATTGTAATAAAAATGGTGTAAAGCACGAATTTACAGACGTATATACTCCGGAACAAAATGGAGTTTGTGAGAGATTCAATCAGACAGCTCTCAACAATGTACGTGCAATTTTACATGATAGTGGAATGAGTCCTGAATTTTGGTCAGATGCAGTGATGTATTTTGCATATTCATTTAATAGAATTTGTCATAAGGGCCAAGATAGAACCCCATTCGAATTGTATACTAAGCGGAAAAACCATCAGTACGTCACCTTAAGGCATTTGGAACGATTGCCTATGTGGGAATTCCAAAGGCTAAAAGAAATTCTAAGCTTGATCCAAAGGCAACGAAGGGCCGATTGATTGGATACAGTGTACGAACAAAAGGGTACAAGATTTGGTTGGAAAATGAAGCAAAAGGTAGTAGAAACCCTAAATGCTACTTTTAAAGAGTCAGTTGGAATGCAGAGAAGTTGGAGTGGAGCTGCACTGGGCACCCTTCCTGATTTGGAATCTGAAGAGAGGATAGAGTTCCAATCTACTGATACTCCAGTTGGCTATTTTCCTGAAATAGAGGAAAGAATTGATACCAGTGTACCCTCTTCTATACCTAGCACTGACACTCAATCTACATTGAGACAAGTAACTTGGCTTCGTAAACCTGTTCCAAGGCCAGACGGCACTAGTACGGATGTGTACTATTTTGAGAGGGGGTCTAATCAAAGACTACGATCACCAAATGATGTAGAAAGGTATTGCACTGAGCATAATATTCAGTATGATCCTACCTTGTTTGATTTCAAGGGAAGCAATACTTATAGTGGTGAAATCGACCCAACTGGCACTCCTTCAACGTCATATACCCAAGATAGCTGACTAGAGGTTTCAATTCCAAACACTTATAACCAGGCAATGAAATCCACAGAAAAGCTTAAATGGATAGAGGCAATGGAAGAGGAAATGGCCAACATGTGAAAGCATAAGGTATGGCATCTTGTTCCACTTCCTAAAGACAAGACTCCACTAGGTTGCAGATGGATTTTCAACATTAAATGTGACGAATTTGCAAACATTGTCCGTTTTAAAGCTCGTTTAGTGGCTCAGGGTTATCGGCAAATTAAATACGATACCTATGATGAAACCTACTCGCCTGTAGTTAACTTTTCAGTAATAAGGCTCTTTTTCTCTCTTTTAGTAGCACACCTTGGATGGGCAAATATACAGTGCGACGTAAAAAGTGCCTATCTCTACGCTCCTTTATCAGAGGAAATTTACATGTCCCAACCTCAGGGTTTTGTAGAGCGAGATAAAGAAACTTTTGTGTGTCGTTTAGATAGAGCCTTGTATGGTCTGCATCAGAGTGGGCGATTATGGTACTACGAGTTGGACAGAACACTATGTAACCTAGGGTTTACCAAGTAATTGTGTCTATCGTTTTAAAGATTTTGTCATTCTGTTGGTTTATGTTGATGATATTGTTGTGTTTGGAAAAAGTGAAGTTCAGGCTAAAAGGATATTAAAAGTCCTGAATTCACATTTTGATTTGAAAATTTTGGGTAAAACAAGAAAGCTTTTGGGTGTGGAATTTGAATATGAGAACAATAGTGTTTTGATTCATCAGCAATTATATATAGAAGACATAGTTGATCGATTCAAGTCTTTTAAAATACAAATTACTTCCCTTCCAATAGTTAAAGGTGTGAAATACTCAAAGTCTCAAAGTCCCAGTACACAAGAAGAAACGACTGAAATGATGAATTATCCTTATAGAAATGTTTTGGGATGTCTCTCGTTTCTTTGCAATCGTACTCGTCCGGATATAGCTTATGCTGTTAATATATTTTCTCAGTTTCAAAGCAATCCTGGTAAGTTTCACTGGGAAGGATTACTTAAACTTTTAGGATACGTTTCCAATACCAGACACATCACAAACTTAAACTGGTATGCAAGGAACTGAAGCTCAATATATATTCAGATTCGGATTTTGCTTCAAGCAGGGATGATATGGTGTCTATTGGTGGACAAATAGCTTTGTTGGGAGAATCACCTGTATCTTGGCGTACATTTAAAGAAAGGGGAGTGAGTTTGTCTACTATGGAGGCTGAATTTATCTCCATGACTGAATCAGCAAAAGAATTAGTTTGGTTTAAAAACATTTTGGATGAATGCATTCAGTTTAAAGATTGCAAGTAACTATGTTTCAAAACCAATATTGTTTGCGGATAACATGGCTGCTATATGTTTTACAAAATCACCCATTGAAAACTCAAGGACAAAACATATAGATGTAAAACTATTTTTCATTCGTGATCTATTGAACAGGGAAATTTTTGATTTAAAATATGTTCCAAGTAAAGATAATCTGGCTGATCCCATGACAAAACCGCTGACTAAGCATAACCTGATAAGATTTTGTGGAACAATTTTCTTGTGAAACTTGTTTTTGTGTGTATTTAAATTAAGAGTTTTGTTTAGTTGAAAATAATATGTTATAAGTCATATTATGATGAGTATTAGATAAATGTAAAACTGTATAGTGTAGAATGTTGTATGATTGACCAGGGCCCTGGGTAAATGTATTGAATGTATGATCATACATATGTCTTTGTATTGTTTTGTAACATGTTGGACTTGTTATGGTAAAATTTTGAAAAATAGGATAAAATTGTCCCAAAGGAAAATTTTTTCTTAAAAATTTCTGAATTGCCTGAAATTGTGATATTTATTTATTCCTATTTTGAATTTTGTAAAGATACTGGCGTTCAGTTTTATTTCAGGTCGGAGATGATGATGTGGGGGGCATTTGTTGGAAAATATGACTTATTGTAACCCTTTTTCTGCATCATCTCTCCTCCTTGAAATATTTATTAGGCTTAGTTCTTATTTTTAAAGGGATATAGTAGTTACTTCTACTTCTTTTTTTCAATGCCACTGTTTGTGTTGAGAACGAACTGTTTCAGCCTAATTAATATGCAAGAACGAAACGTGATGTTACATCATCTGGAAAGCCGAGTCGTGCCGATAGCTGATTGGTTGCCGTGAGATGACGTCATGCCTACTTCTGGTACAAGTATCTCGCGTCGCTCTGGCTCATTCCTTCTAGTTCCTGCTTTCTTGGCTCTTGGGTGTGCGGTTTCCAGCCCCTATTGAAAGATGTCTTGCGATGCATGCAGTCCGGGGATAAGTTCCGAGGTTCCAGTCTACAAGATGGTTTTTCCCGAATAAGTTCCTTGGTTCCAGTCTACAAGATGGTTTTTCCCGAATAAGTTCCTCGGTTCCAGTCTACAAGATGGGTTTTCCCAAATAAGTTCCTTGGTTCCAGTCTACAAGTTGGTTTTTCCCGAATAAGTTCCTTGGTTCCAGTCTACAAGTTGACTTTTCCGGAATAAGTTCCTTGGTTCCTGCCCTACAAGATGAGTGACTGCCGTGGGCGGCATCCATGTTCTTCATGAAGGCGCCATTTAACATAAGTTAGCGGCGATGTTTTACTGTGCTATGATTCCTCGTGTTCAACTACAGTGAGCGGAGTTAGGCCGGATTTAAGTGCCCTCAAAGACTTAATTTAATTTTCAGGTGCCTTTTCATCATTAAGTGTGGATCTATTGACAGTGTAGCTAATTTTTATTTAAAACCGCATAATTTCTGTTTAGGATACGTTTTTCGCGTATTGAATGCCAGTATTTTGGAGACCAGGTAAAATACTATTTAATATATGAAATTTTGATAATGATGGTTATATTATAATTTCTAAGTTACTGATATTGTTTAAATTTATTCATTGTGTTTTTATTTTTTATATATTGTTAATAAATTGGTTAAGTTTGAAACCTTTTTATTGTCTTCAATGTCTGCACAACATATAATCTTAGGGAGCTTCTATTGCTACTGGTGCTAAATGTTTAATTTTATAAACTTTAAACTTTGCTTTTGCATCATATACCTCTATCCATTTTTTGCAGCAATTCCACTTTTTGTTTAATGGACTTCGAAACATACTTTCGCTTTGTAGATCTTTTACATATTAGTAAATATATATCGGAAATTCTATTTGACATAATTGATAGTTCAAACTTACTTTTATAAAATTGCTCTAACAGTCAGCAAAAAATGATAAGCCGGATCCAGTTCGAAGATTAAGGAACAACGCAATCTGCAACATTAACTGAAACAGATAATTAGATAATTTTAGCTTATACTGTTCGTTATACATTAAACACGCATGCGTAAAGATATTATGCGCATGCGCACATGCATATTCACAGCCGTAAAGGTTTTACGCGCATGCGTCAACGCGAGACCTGCGCAGCAAGTTTGTAGCTTTGAGGTCCGGATTATGGGTGTCCGAATTAACGACTTTTGACTGTACTTCTTGAAATTACTGGTGCTGGTATTATATGATAGCTGTATATGGTTATAACTGCATATGTAAATTAATTACAGTTATTCAGTTACAATACCCATTACAGTAATATGGAAACTGGACCAAAATGTAGCCAAATTTGGCGACTTTTCAGACTTGTCACCAAAACCATCATCAGCTTGGCGATATCTTACCAATTAATAAAGTTAGACTTAGTTATTCTTATTTTTCCTGTAGTATCATCTCTTAAGATTTTTATGCTACATTACACAGAAGAAAATACAACAATTTCACATATAATTTCACTAAAATTATTTACATAAGTACAAAATTCATAACAATATTATTTTTCATTACATTAAAATAATTTTCAATTTGGAGGTAATTATACTTTTTTAACTGCTTCGTTTTAATAATACGCATTTGGAACGTATATAATAACTATTAACTACACCAATGGAATGCATTTTTCACAGATTACAGCAGACGATTCATTACACCAATATTCTACTAAGTTTGATAAGCTTGTCGATTTCTATTTAGTTACTTTTTATGTATAGAATAATTGTCATGAGGAGGTAAATGATAAATGAACTTACAGCTGGAGGTGAAGCTACAAGATCAGTAACACCATCTCCAATCATTACCAATCTTTGGTAACCATAACGGTGTTTCAGGTAAGCAGCAACTTGTGCTTTCCCATCTTGATCACAAGTGGGCTGATCTTCATCAAACCCAGCATAATCACCTGCAAATAAAAGAGTTTCTTGTTATTGAACATCATTTGATGCAAATTGTTACATAAAAGAATTCTGAATCATGCTGCAGAACTAATGAATAACTAATTAATGAACTAAATTATGAATTGAACAATTTGGCAATTAAATGTTAGAAACAAAAAATTTCAGAATGGTTCAAATCAATTTAATTAGTTCACCCGTAATAATTTACTCAAACATGGTTAACTGCATTAATCTGATTAAATTTATTAAACAAGTTCGAATTGGGCACAATTAAAACATTATTACATATTTGAAAAACCTACCGTTATATATATATAAAATACTTACTATGATGCATGGAATTATTAAATTTTGTTAAAATATGCAATGCCTGTCTGGTTATGAGTAATATGGTCTTTTGGAGGACTCTGTAAGAGAATCTGAACTACATTTATATGATAAATTAAAAACTAGGAAAACTTCATACAGGAAGTTTATTCAACCACCAGTGCTATAACTTTGACTGAACCAGTGGCGTAGCAAGCATAACTGGCGCCCAGGGCAAAATACCTTTTTGGCATCCCTCCCCACAAAAAAAACTTTCAGTAATATAATGTATAGAATATATTTGTAATAAGAAAATAATACAAGTAATAATAAAATGCTGAATCTGCCATAAAATACTCTAAAATATATTAAGAATAGTCCACTACCTAACTACACTAGCCTTGGATTCGGAAATGCATGTGTCGGCGGAAAAATCAGACATATGATGATCTAGAATTAGTTAAAAAGGTATTATTTATTTTACAGTTACATAAGTGTTTTAAAAAGTACAATTTTTAAACAATTAAAAGTTTAATATACATTATAGATAAATCGATATATTTATTAATAATAATATAATACATGAATACAACTAATTACTATGTATACATTTTTCTTACCTTGGATGAAGCAAATTTATCGTTTACTTCATCAAAGTCAATCCTTTCAAATTTTTCTCTTTCCATACTTGACAATGCTAGACGACTGGGGGATCTTGTCCCATCGTTGATTGTAAATATGTGAAAATTTATTTTAATTTGCTGAATGAACGTTCATGGATAGCATTTGATAATGAAATAGTAAGAAGTATTTGAAGTGTGACTCTTAGGTTTGGAAAAACATTTTCTGTATAGATCTGAGTTGAGTTTTAGGTTCCGTTTCTTTTCTACTGTGGAGTAACATCATGCAGTTACATTCACTGCTCAAAACAATTAGAGGATATTGTGGGTTCGGTATGAAATAACCATATAATCGACAACCTTTTTGAACAAAAGGAAATAGGAAATTATAAAGGAAAATTATAACGTTTACAAAGTTGGGAATATGCAAATTTAGTCTGTGACATCAAAAACTATGCATTTTAGATAAGGAGGGACCTGCAGTATTCCTTTTGTAGTAGGAGATTAAAAACAATTGACATGTGTTGAATGCTTCATAGCAGTGAATATACTATGTCTCAGCAAGATGACTTAGTTGAATCGGTAGCTAGGAAGGCCATCACTCGTTTACAGGAGAGTCAAACGCAATCCACTGTAGCGGAAGCGTTAGGATTTTCCCCAAAAATGTCATTTCCAGATTATGGAATCGGATTATTGAAACTGGATATGTTTGAGAAATTCAGGACAAGGTCGTGTTAAAATAAAAAGCAGGAGATATGCGTGCATTTCGTTTAAAAAAATAAAAATATATCTCTACTTTGGAGAAATAAAGTGGTCAGAAAGAGTTTGGTTGATGTACTGCAAACATTTTATTACACATTTTATCAGACAAATCAAGAAAATAAATAATTAATTATATTACAATAGTTATTAATTTTAAATATATTTTCCAGAAATCAATCAAAATAAAAACTGAAATTTTCCGGAAAATCTTGTTTGTAAACCTAGGAGACCATTTGGCGCTGCTCGTGCGCCCCTCTACGAGCGGCGCCCGGGGCATCATGCACCTCCTTGCCCCCCTCGTTATGCCACTTTACTGAACTATCAATATTTGCAGTTTTTATTACTCAACCATTTGTTGGCTAGGCAGATTATGTTAAGGATGATGATTTTCATCATAAGATAAAAAGATTTTACTTTCCTAATTTGGCTTTTAAAAAGATACAATTTAAACTAATTAAAATGTAAAATCAATTTTAGTTAAAAAAAGAAGTATTTGATTTGATACTTACCATTAAAATAATATTTTATTCTATTTGCAAATATATGGTTAAATGGAATGTCCAACTCCTCTGCCACAGGCTGAATGATGGTATCAAATCCTCCAGAAACAAGATATACAGGGACTTCATGATCATGAAGTATGGACATCAACTCCCTATAAATAATTATTTAAAGAATTTAAAATTATCTGAATTATGTAAAAGTAAAATACAGTGTAAGTTTCTAACACTTTTAATAGTAAATATTGATACTTGAGTAGCAAAAAAATATTGGTGTAGCAAAAAAATTACGATGCTAAAAAGAAATACAGACTAACCTCTAACTAAAGGATGCTCATATGACTAAAGTTAATGTCTGTTACTACAGTGTGTCTGCCAAATACAAGTGCAATGGTTTCCTACTTTGAGAGTTTTAGGATTTAGAAACTATTTGTTGATAGGCGGTATCCACTAAAACTGAGTGTTTGTTAATATAGGTTAGACTTTATTTCATTCTGTGCAACAGCTTATTTCATAATTTGACATCAGTATATAAATCATTGTCAGTTACTTAAGTAAAAATCTGTATAGAAATTCTTTAAATTAATATTCCGAGTGGCAATTCAGAGCTTTTGCAATATCAGTATTAACTGTCTCTTTAAAGGTGCCTTTTTTATTTCACTTTTTTTTTTTTTTTTTTTTGTAAAGCATTTGTCTTTAGAAAAAAAGTCACTGGTACATTTTTATTAGTACAAATATTAAACAACTCATCAGCAACTTTGTAAATTGGCAAAAGCAATTTTTTGTCTATCTTTATGGCTCATAGGTAATGTTCTATTTATAAATAATAGTAAAAAGAAGCATTTTATAAGAAACAAGAAATTTTAGAAGAAAAAGCAAAAATATATATGGCTGACATTTATACAGCACATGGGTACTTTTCAGCAAAATGCTTGTTAAATATAATGCATGTAAATACATGTGGATTCAAACACATGACACATGCATGGGTAAGTTGCTGTCATCTGTACACTAAAAAATAGGCCAGAAATATAACACTCCTACTGAATGTTGAAATCAGGAATGTGTATAATCACGAAGTACTAAAACACTTTTGATAAACAGAAAAAACAATATTCCTGTATGCAATTATAACAACTGATGGCAATGATAATCAGCAAAACAAAAGTTCGAAAAATCATTATTTCAAGAAAAAAACATTTAGAAATTACATGCATTTGATTTTAAACAAAACTGAGTTACACTTTCCATATAATAATTTATTTATAATCACCTCAAAGATTATGTCTTCTCTTTCAGAATAATATAAAACATCAAAATAATAACTGCCATCAGAAGACAATAAACATATATTTTGCCTTAATTTTTAAATAAATTATTTTGTTCATAATACACAGAATGAAATAAAGAACTTGCACATTTCAAAAATTAAAATATTTATGGTTCCCACCTATATTTCATACAAAATATTTTGGAAAAATTTACAGTTAATTTTACTTTAATATTTTAAAGTGCTATGAATATTCATTTTCTCAGCTTAGAAAATAATATAAGATATATTAAAGTTATGATACATTATTGATAATAAAATAATACATATTAATTCAAATACAAGTCAGATTTTAACATAAATTTAATTTATTGAAAGACTAAAACTGACAAGCCAATTTTATCAGAATTCATATGTGACTAACATAATTTTTCAAGCAGAATTTTATTATTAAATTAAATAAAATCTTTTTACTGTTAAAGAAATTAATATAGAATATTAGAATCAAAAATCATCTTTAGTTGAACACATAGGCCTACCATTTAAGAGAAACTTCCTACCTTCTCATGCAGATAATAACTGGGAACTTTTATATCAAAACTTATGAAAATAATTTTGAATCATTCTGCATGGCAGAATATCATAATTTACTACTGTATCACTTATACATAAGATGGCATCAATTAGATTTAATTATTTTGTTACATAATGTTAAGGGATGTCTTTATAACTATGTTAAAAAAATAGTGTAGTGAGAAGCAAAGAAAAGACTAATTACAAATCTCAATTAACAAACAACACTTAGTGAGAAATATGTTCATAAATACAAATATTAAATATTGTATTTTCTTTTTCAACATTGATGAAATTATAAGCAAATTTTTCTTTTGTACTATTTTAAGAGGAAATAAAATTCTGTTTTATTTCCTCTTAAAAAAGAAGCCAAAAATTGAGAATATCAATTCATGAAATTTGAAATTATTGGACAGTTTTAGAACAACCTTATATTCTGCAAGCATAAATGTTTGTTCTACAAAAATTTCAAAACAGTAGGTAATAATTATAATTAAAAGTAATACCATTCCAAATTTTGTGTAAGAGTCACTAAGCCCAACAAATAAAGAAGAGCACAAATATATAATTTAGATTAACATTTTGAAACAAGTTGTGAACTGGTTAGCACATTGCAAGCAGGAAGATATAATGGCATAGTTTATTTATAAAGTACTCATTTAAGATATCATGTCTTGGAACTGTTCAATGAATAATACTAGTTTGCATTATTGTGCTATATTTTTACTACTCACAACCATATAAAGAGTACACTACAATTAAAAGCAGTGATGCTTGCAATTAAAAAAAAGGCCTCATCAGTTTATAAGTAGAATGTCCTTATATGTAATTCAGTTTATAAGTAGAATGTCCTTAAATGTAATTAAAAAATTCTTATCCTGAACAAATAAAGCTCAGTTTCATAAACACACAGCTTTCCTTGAAAATTAAATGTAATTTGATAAGTAAAATAATTCTCAGCCAGGTCATCAGGGAACTATAAAAAGAGATAATTCCTCGTTCAATATTAAAATGTATATTATGTAGACAACCATGTATTCTTTTATTGCAGTCTGCAGCTCAATGGTAGGTCTTACCCTTTTTTAAGTTGAATTTTTATTTTCAACAGCATAAAAGCTGTAACGTATTGAAATATATTTGTCAGACTTTTATAGTTATGAATACTTATACTCTCTATATTATTCATAAGTGCAATAATTTTCATGCTGACATTCCTTAAATATGGAACAGATAACAAGAATACAGAACAGACATGGCTGAATCGCCCAGAAATTCATTCCATATTTGACCAAATATTTAGTATGATTCATTCCATTTTTGACAAATTTTTAGTATGATTCATTCCATATTTGACCAAAGACTACTTATCATAATCCCTTTTACTAACAAAATGTTGTTGATTCAGACAATGATCATACAGTAAAGTAATACTAAAAGAAGGTAATAAATAAATATTCAAATAGATACTTAGATTTCCTTTAAAAAAAAAAAAAAAAAAAAAAAAAAAAAAAAAAGAGCCTAAAATCCTGTTCTGGCATTCATGCATAGAAGGAATAGACAACTATTAAACAATTTTTAATTGATCGAGCAATCAGAAACCTACAGGATACCATAATCCTAAATAAAAACTTTATCAGGTTCTGTGGTAAAATGCAATAAAAAAGTTAAAAGTTTCACACAACTAACTTTTATGATACAATTTTGCAACTGATTTACAAAACTCCAAAATTTTTCAGTTTCCCCACTTTAATATCTGTTTCATTGTTCATTCATTTTATTTTGTAAAATTCTCATTTCTTCTTCAGAAAAAAGAAATAAAATGGACAATGCTAAAACAGGAAAAACAGTTCAAAGAGTTAAAGTCATTTCAGATGGCAGATATTAGTCCACTATACTTTTATATAACATAATCATAATGGCAAATAAAGCAGTTTTAAAATTACAAAAAATTTTAAGTAAAAGATAACAATAATTTTAAAACTTCATGAATATGCCAAAATTTTCTATTAGATCTGTTAATTACAATAATATACCAGTTAGCTGTAAAACTGGCACTAAAAAAAAAGTTTCATTCAACAGCAGCCTTTCTCAAATCAAAATTCATGCTACTAATTTTTTTTTTTGCTTTATGAGACATCCACCATTTTTGACAATACAGTCAAAAGTCTTTAATCCGGACTCGTCGGGACTTCGGTGATTCCGGATTATCGGTTTTTCCGTATTATAGATCATCAGTTTAAATCTGGTAAGATGGCATGCAGAAATTAGAAAATTAAAAATATGAAACCGTAATTTATGAAATAAAGAGCAATTATGATCTAAAGGGTATCAAAATAAAAAATAAAATAAATAATAAAAAAAAAAACCTGAATATTTATTTGTTTATTTTATTAAACATTTCTTTCAACGTGCGCATGCGTAAAGCATACATTAATTAGAAAATTGCAACTAGAAAACTATTTGATGTGTATTCCTGATATTTATAATGACGAGGAATTTGATTTAAATCATTTAATTTATATCTTTCAGCTGTTAAAATACATTCGCAAATTAAAAATACTAAAAGAAAATACTAAGCTTACATCTCAACAACTTCAAGTTTTTGCCTTTGTTTTTATCTTTGAGCTGTCAAATATACCAATACTCAGTTCAAAACCAAAAGTCACTCACTCTTACATGAAATCTAAATCATCACTTTAAAACATATTACCAACTAAACAATACATTACAGTTTTTAAGGTTTCAAATAAACAGGTAATGTAATATACAATTTTTTATTCAAGAAACAAATGATATAGTAACATTGTTAAAATCCTCCAAGTTAAGAAAATAGTTACTGATACTAATCAACTTGATTTACTCTAGAAAGATCATTATAGTTAACATTTTATTACAGACAAATTTTACTTAAAAAATCTGACCTACAAAGCTGTTTAAAATATGTAAGATACTATTTATTAAGTAAGGACTTGATAAACATTTTCTATAATGAAAAATGCTAAAAATTAATATTTGTATTACAAAAATTTCTGCAGAGAAATGTATTTATACTAATGATAATTTCATAATCTTAAAGTTTATTTAGTAGTTTAATTTATTTGTAAAAGGAAAGATTCTCTTCTAAAGTAATAGATAATAAAAAATAAAATTCACACTCCATAAAAACTACTTCTAGAAAGAGCTAAGTTTAGTTATTTGAATATAGAAAAGTATACATAAGGCTATCTCCCTAAAGATAGAGATGCTTCTAGAGAACTTCTAATAAAACTGGCTTGCATTCATGGTACACTGCTCAAAAAAAAAAAAAAAAAA